GAACCTTTCACCCTGGTTTTAAAGAGGAGATGTCACACTGAGAAATATTTTTTTATTAATTTACTGATCTTAATTAAATCTTCAACTTGCTTGCTTGCTTTTGATGAATTTTCATGATTCTTCACTTGCTGCTAAAGATCTTTCTCTTGTACTAACCTGCTGGCTCTGGCATCGACACCATATGTTTCATGTTGGGTTGTTCTATGGTGATCTCGCCAGCATCTCCATGGCAATAAAGTATAAGAAGAAACTGAACCAGGTACCAGCACAGAATGACAAAAATGTCGAATTTGGTCAGCCACAGCTCACATCTCAAAGTTTATCTTTCAAAAAACTGATTTCTTTTATCCCTGATTCACTGATCCCAATAGTTCCTCCTCCACCAAAGCTTCGTGACAAGGCTGTAAGAGGTTGGGTTATTTTTTCCTGGAGGTTAGGGAAATAGTGAGTAAGGGGGGAAGAATTTAATTTCATTTTACAAAGAAAACACACCTAAAGTAATTTTCACTCCAATAGGGGAAACTGCTGCTAGCAGCACCAGCAGCCCAACTCTAAAGCTTGTAGCTCTGATCCACAACCAGGAGTGTCTGATGCCCTCAGGGTTTGCCACGTTCAGATGGGTTTTAGCGTGGAAAAAGAGAGAATACAGCCCCATGAAATAGCTCCATGCTCCTTGTTTTCCTCAAATATGGAATGAGATGTGTCACGGAGGGTGAAGGGAACAACAGAGACTTCGCAGAAAATTCCTCTTCATTCCCAGCACTGGATGTGGGATTTTTCTGTTGTTTCTCTGGTTGCCTGCGCTCTTTCGAGCCCATGATCGGTCACGCCTGTTGCGACCCACCAAGGGAGATAAAGGGGGTTTGCTTTCCTAAACAGTGGCTACAGTTAAATGAGGTACCGCATGAATCGATTTCATATGACAGTATACTGTAAATACAGCCGGAGCAGTCGTGTCAGTGGAATTGCAGAACCGTTTAGGTTGGAAGAGATCTTTATCCAGTTCAGCCATGGAGCCATGGCTGCGTATTTCTGCAAGTGATGGCTGTGCCTCTTGGTCCTTGTATTAAACCCCCCTTTCAATTATCACTCTAATTAGCTTGCTGAAGTATTTAGAGTCCCAGGCGGTCAGCTGTTTTGGGTGTTCACGGAATAGCACCCCGCAGGGATTGCTAAACAGCAGGGCAGCGCTGTGCAGAAGCTGGCAGCCAGGCGCTTCCTTACCCATCAGGTTCCTCTTTCTAAATGAGAAACCTTGTTCCCAGCTGAGAGGGGACCCAGCCCTGCTCTGCCCTGCAAAATGCTCCTGGCCAAAAATAGGGGGGATTTAAATAATCCCAGCTGGGTTTTAATTTTTTTCTTTTTTTCTTTTAAGTTCCTGCAGTATTTGCAGTGGTTTCCATCTCAGATACTGTGGTTTTTTTGTTTTTAATGGCACCCTCTGTGGATACGGAGTTCAACGCGACTCTGTCACTGTTGAACAAACTGTAAAGACCATTCAACTGGATTGAAACTTGTAAGAAGTGGCTTCGTTGTTCTCCGAGCCCTCTCCCTGTGGGTGGCTCAGGCAGGGGAATAAATTGGGTTCCTCCATGGGCTCCTGGGTGGTGGGTCTGCCCCGAGAGAGAGGAGCCCTCCAGGGCAGCAGCATTGCAGCAGAGCTCTTCCCGCGGCCACAGCTTCCCAACCACGGAGAGATGTTTGCAGTGGCAGAGTCCTCGTCCGGCTGCAAGAAATCCTAGGGAAGGTTTCCTCTTGGTCTGGGAAGGTACCCGTGCCTTCAGCCGAGGCTACAGTGTTCTCTGGCTTTAATAAAAAATAAAAATAAAAAAAAAACCAGAGAAGGAAACAGCCAAATGTTGTCATTACGCAACAGTCTGGCTGTTTGGGGCTGTTCTTGCAGGACACCAGCTTTTCCATCAACCGGTTGCACAACTCCTGTTTCTAATGACATCAAAGGGGAAGGTGATGGCCATTGAGAAAGGGCTGGAACAAAGCTTCTTACTGGAGCTTGAGAAAGGGCAGCCCAGGGGCGAGACGGCTCCAGTCTCCGGGGGGGCTCATGCTGAGATCTGCTGGCCGGTGCTGTGACCTCGGCAGAGCCCCGTGGACTGAATTGCAGCCTTGTGCTGGCCCTCGGAGCCCCGCGAGCATCTCCA